GCTACAATTTCTTATGATCTATCAGCAACGGATTTCGAAACAGCAGGTTAATAAAAGTATTATGCCAGGAATCAGACCCGCTTCTTTTCAATTACTTATTGCGACCGGCATGGTCGCTTGCATTGGCAATATATTTGGGCGATAAAAAGGAAAAAGTTTGCCCCTTGTGAGGCCTCAAATTATGCGCAGATCTCGTTTTTGCACACTCGTCTTAGCAATAAGGTGAACACCGACCTTGCGAGAGTCGCGGTTTTCTGCAGTAAAGAAGAAGCATACATGTCTTCCTACAAGACCGCGCAAATACTGTCAGAAAATTTACCAAGGAAGTGTTTCTTTCTAGGCAGTAAGAAGTACCACTGGAAGGGGACAGTCCACTATCGTTTTCATGTAGTGCTGGATAACTATTACAGAGCGAAGGAGAAACGACATCTAAGGGCTTCCAATTATTCGATTCAGTCCCGCTTCCCGGCATTGGCACCATTGTGATTTGGGAAAGTGCTCGTTAATGGCATCAGCGCTCGAGCTGTTGACGCATGTTGATGTTATGGATAAAAACAGAAGTCTGTCTATGGGCAGGACGTGTTCTGAGGACAGGGAACAGTTCAATTGAGGAGTCATGTTAACAGAGGACCTTAGGACGCGGCTTAAACCTACAAGGCTGAATGGTAGCCAGTCAGAATAACGACAGGGAGGAACCCACTGGGCAAATGTGCAGGCTGGCCAGTCTGAACACTGAGAAGCGTGAACTCGTATCCGCGACCTCAACAGGCGCTTGACGGGCGCATTATGTCATGGTGTCCCGATATTACGGGCGGGGAATACACAGCAGAGACGGTCCGTCATAATTTACATGCATAACTGGACTAAAACATCGACAACAAGGTATAAAAGAGATCTGAGAGCGTCCAACTGATTGATTCCCTGACGCCTACTCTACCATTTTGACATTGGTACAGTCGCGCTTTGAGAAAGTACCAGACAATGACATCAACCTTCGAGCTGTTAATCCATCCACTCGGCGTTTCGCACACTTAGTTAACTCTTCGACAGTTTTGCATTCTAACCAAATGGTTAGGATAAAGACCGATCGGGCTGACTCTAGAGCTACCTATGATTTGGCGTTATCCAGCCCCACCTGCCTTCATTCCAGTAATATTAAAACTACTCTTCAATTTTCTCTAAAATAGCTCTGTTAGCCACAACAGCATCACATAAGGTTAACAACCCCTGATGTAGCGGATTTTGCCAGCAGGCCTTACTATCTGTTAAACAGCTGCAGGGCAACCGTTTCGAAACACCAAATTAATAATAGTTTATAGTCTTTCGATACATAATAGATGTAGCCGAGCGCTGGGCTTTCCAGATGAATTTTCCTTTAATCAATTTCTTCTAATGTCTACTTGCCGCAAACACACTTCGAAAAGTCTGTAAGTTAAATGCCAACTAGTTATTGCATCCTCCAAACACGCCTGTGGTGCAACATCAGAGATGCATTACTCGGCGATGGCTTAAAAAGCATGTCCGATAAGTTACCCCATTTTTGCACAACCAACGGGTTTGTTCGTGTGACGCCGATGTCGGGTTCACGAAGTAATTGCAGGAAAATTAGAAGCATTGAGCCAAATATTCGCATTTCAGGTATGCGTGTAGAAAGAGGAGGAGGAGAAGGCATTTCCATCAGCCGAATCACATTTTTACTTGTCTGGGCTTTCGGGCTCTTTCTGGAGTCCATCGTCAGAGATAAAAGGTGTCCACGACAGACAAGCAACAGTTATACGAGGCGGAGGCCAATTAACCGTTATGGAGGGGTGGAGGCAGTCAACCGTCAGTGCCGTCAGTCCGGAGATGCCTGCGCAGGGCCGTGTATGCCGGCGCCAGATCGATAAATGGATTGACTGGTATCTCATCAGACGCCCAGGTGTCAATCAATTTGTGGCTCGTCCTGGTGCCGGCATGCGCGATTACACTCACAGCTGCACTGGTGTGGTTGACTGCCGCACCCCTGCTCTCCTCTGCCGTTTGTCTTTCGTTGACGTCTTTTATCTCCGTGGATGGACTCCAGCAAGGCCCCCAATAACTCAGACAAGTAAAACTATTATTTCGGTGATCGAAACACCTTATAATTCTCTATCTGCACAAAAAGACAATTAAAACTGACGTTTTCAAATAGCAAGACATCCACTACAACAAATGCCTTTAGATATCTGCAAGTGGTTCTGTTTTGCACTTTCACAAATCTTACCAGTTGAGACAAGACGTAGGTGAAATCAAAGATTCCGTTGTGTGTCACACCCCAGTCAATAAGGTGGGCATTGGTATTTTTACACAGTTCGTTAAAGACTAGTCCGGAGATGAGGGCCTGTACCGTGCCCTTGGGCATCCACGCGAAGACGACATATATCCGCTCGCGGATCGTGAGTTTGGAAGGAGTCAGTGCGAGGAATGTGACCACCAGACGGATTACTACACCACAGCCGACGACTAGGATGCCCTTAGCTGAGATAAGGAATGAGTGAAATACAGGAAGAGATAAAGGACACATTACAATAAAATTGACCTTTTTGAGAAGATAGAGTAAAAGCATTTCCCATTAACCTCCACTCACTGTTTGTTCTACTGACCCTTCTCAGGAGGAAAATTTGTCAAGGTCATTGTATCAGTATGGAAGTGTTCTTGTGTGCCGCCAATTTAATTGCTTTCTCAACTGTCTCTGTGGGTTGATTTTCCCACAAATGTGGGAGATCAATGGGTCCCGCTTCCCTCCTCCGACAAATAAGATGGATTCTGTAACAATAAATGCTCTACGGCAATTAAATATATGACAGAAGTGCCCTACCCTAGCAGATTACGGAATTTACCCTTTCCTCTGTGCGTTGGGGTCGATGTAGCTGTCTGCCACAAGTTTATCCCTCGTATGCCTCGCAGTAACTAGTTAACATATAGAAAGGAGCCCAGACTAATATTCATTTGACTTGTGTTAGGGTGGCATAGTGGCCAAATACAGGAAAATCTAAAGGGCACACCTCACGCCTAGGAGGGAATACGCTTTGAAGTAGCACCCGTCAAGGCAACGAACTGCAAAATTTCCTCTAGACCTAAATCTCGACTTCAGCGGCATGGTAATATGTAGCCGTTGGCAGTATGGGGTGGCCGTGTTATCCTTTTTTT